CCCCCTCTCCTCTGAACTCTCTACCTGCAACCTATGTAGCTTGAAAAGCTGGGATGATCATATCCTTGAGTTGGGTTTTGGCCTGGAAGATGAAAACCCTATTGTCTATGGTGAATCAAGGAAGGAGGAACTTGGGGAAGGGAGGTGTTATTTTAGATGTATATGTAAATAGCTGGGATCTTCGTAGTTGGGGCCCATTTTGCCACAATTATAAGTGCCCCCCTGCCAAAAGCTCCCTGTTCTCCCCTTTTGAAAAGCTCTTCACATTCACAACTGCCCACTCAGAATCTATTTTCTCCCATTAGGTTCAGGATGTCTGAAGGCAAGAATGTGTCTGCCTTGTTCACCAAAGTGAGAACCTACCACATGTTAGATACTGTTCTAGACCTCAGAATTATAGAGATGAGTAAGGTATCATTCCTGCGCTATAGATGTCTTATCTTATTAACAAAAACATTCATTTTGTTACTGTTCAGCTGCTAAGTCGTGTCCGACTCTGTGACCCCATGGACTGCAGCATGCCAGGCTTCTCTGTACTTCACTCTCTCTTGGAGTTTGCTCAAATTTATGTCCAGTCTTCTCAGCATCAGGATCTTTTCCAGTGAGTTGGCTCTTCACATCAGGTGGCCAAAATATTGGAGCTTCAGCTTCAGCATCAGTCCTTCCAACGACTATTCAGTCCTTTGGGATTGACTGGTTGGGTCTCCTTGCAGTCCAAGGGACACTCAAGAGTCTTCTTCAACACCACAGTTCAAAAGCATCAATTCTTCAATGTTCAGCCTTCTTTATGGTCCACCTCTCACATCCGTACATGACCGTGGGAAAAACCATAGCTTTGACTAGATGGGCCTTTGCTGACAAAGTAATGTCCCTGCTTTTTAATATGCTATCTAGGTTGGTCATAACTTCTCTTCCAAGGAGCAAGTGTCTTTTAATTTCATGACTGAAGCCACCATCTGCAGTAATTTTGGAGCCCAAAAAATTAAAGTCTGTCACTGTTTCCATTGTTTCCCCATCTATTTGCCATGAAGTGATGGGACCAGATGCCATGATCTTAGTTTTCTGAATGTTGAGTTTTAAGTCAACTTTTTCACTCTCCTCTTCCACTTTCATCAATAGGCTCTTTAGTTCTTCTTCAGGTTGGCACTAATTCAAAAGGTAACTTTGGATTTCTCTGAGCAAATGAGGGGTGGTGAGCACTTCAGTTGGAAAAATACATAGAAAATCACAGAAATGTCAGGGGGCGTGGTTTTGGCCACCTGCAAGAAATCCAGAATGGTTCCATTACAGGGGCTACCCAGGGGAGAGGAAAGATAAGGAACGGATACAGAGTCCTGAAGCTTGAAAAGGCAAAACGACTTACCCATGGTCACATATAAAGCCAAGTCTACTCTAAACCCAGTGCTCTTTTGGCTGAATTATAGTTCACACGTGCTGCCCATGGTGAGAAAACACAGCCCTGGTATCAAGAGTCCCCCCAAGTGGTCCTGTTTGGCTGCAGTGGACTTTTCATTTAATGAATAACTTTTTAAAATTTATTTTATTTATTGAAGGATAATTGCTTTACAGAATTTTGTTGTTTTCTGTCAAGCCTCAATATGAATCAGCCATAGGTATACATATATACCTTCCCTTTGAACCTCCCTCTTAAGCCCCAAATTCTGAGTGCCCAACCTATGAGACAGACAGAGGGTTAAACAAAATTCGTAAGTTATCATGTTGGGGAATGGGATTTTTGCCAAAAAAGAAATGCATTATATAGTTAGAAACTGATATAGAAATCCCCCTTCCCAGTTGAGCTGCTGGTCCACAATGACCTATTGGCCTTATTTTATTTTATTTTTTCCTTCAGTTTATGCCAGGTGTTCCTTTATTTTATTTTTTATATCCTATTCTATATTCCATTTTTAAAAAGTTTTTCCCTTCTGCATCCTAGCCTCACTTCAAATCTCTGACTTCCCATACATGCATCCTTGCTGGTGAGTTTCACTGAGGCTCTCCTAATTCATGCCTCTGTGCATTGATAGGTGTGTCTTCTGGAACTCATTCTGTATAGTTTTGTGTGTTAACATTAGGTGGTGTTGGATCCCCAATCTCATTTTGCAAGCCCTAGTTACCACTCTTTAATCAAACACATTGATTTAATTTCTGTATCTAAATATATGAATAATCACACCAACTGGAAGAAACCTATCCTTCCGTCCATTCAGGTCAATTTCTGCTTCCAAAGAAGTGTGTGCCAAAATTATGAAAAAATTCACATTTTCAGAGGTTTTTGTACTTAAGAATTGCAGATAAAGGACTGTGGACCATTTTACTTCTCCATTCTGCCTCTGATGGACCCCTCTGCATTTCCAGTTCTGCCAGATATATCCTATTCTATATCCCATTTTTAAAAAGTTTTTCCCTTCTGCATCCTAGCCTCACTTCAAATCTCTGACTTCCCATACATGCATCCTTGCTGGTGAGTTTCACTGAGGCTCTCCTAATCCGTGCCTCTGTGCATTGATAGGTGCGTCTTCTGGGACTCATTCTGTATAGTTCTGTGTGTTAACATTAGGTGGTGTTGGATCCCCAATCTCATTTTGCAAGCCCTAGGTACCACTCTTTAATCAAACACATTAATTTAATTTCTGTATCTAAATGTATGAATAATCACACCAAGTGGAAGAAACCTATCCTTCCGTCCATTCAGGTCAATTTCTGCTTCCAAAGAAGTGTGTGCCAAAGTTATGAAAAAAGTCATATTTTCAGAGATTTTTGTACTTAAGAATTGCAGATAAAGGACTGTGGACCATTTTACTTCTCCATTCTGCCTCTGATGGACCCCTCTGCATTTCCAGTTCTGCCAGTTCAATCAATGCCTGGCATATACCCTGAAAAAACCATAATTCAAAAAGACACATGTACCTAATGTTCATTAACAGTAGCCAGGACATGGAAGCAACCTAAGTGTCCAACAACAGATGAATGGATAAAGAAGATGTGGTAAATATATACAATGGAATATTACTCAGGCATAAAAAATAATGAAATTGAGTCATCTGTGGTGATGTGGATGGTCCTAGACTCTGTCACACAGAGTGAAGTACGTCAGAAAGAGAAAAACAAATATTGTATATTGATTCATAGATGTGAAATCTAGAAAACTAGTACAGGTGAGCCTATTTGCAGGGCAGGCATAGAGAGGCAGGTGTAGAGAACGGATGTGTGGACACTGGGTGGGAAGGGAAGGTGTGATGGGCTGGGAGAGTGGCACAGACATACACACACTGCCATGTGTGTAACACACAGCTAGTGGGAAGCAGTCGTATAACACGGGGGGCTCAGCTCAGCGCTCTGTGATGACAGAGGGGGAGCCTGAGGGGTGGGGTGGGAGGGAGGCTCAAGAGAAAAGGATATATGTATACGCATAGCTGATTCACTTCACTGTGCAACATAAACTAACACAGTGTTGTCAAGTGATTATACTCCAGTTTTGAAAAAAAGCAGCCCATATCCTTGTCTTCCTGTGAACCTTTTGGAGAACGTCTCTGGGGTACTCACCCAGAAGACGGTGTCTTAGGATCTTAGGATCTGTGCATTTTTCCTCCCACTAACTACTGCCAGATTCCTCTGCAAAATCCCTGTAGCAGTAAGCCCCCCACCAGCAGGACATGAGGGTGAGTTCCTATTTCCTAACACTCTCACCATCGCTTAATATTATTACCTGATTGTCTACTTTTTTTAAATTGGAGGATAACTGCTTTATCATGTTGTGTCGGTTTCTGTCATACAACAACTCAAATCAGTCATAGTCATACGTACATCTCCTGCCTCTGGAGCCTCCTCCGCCTCTCATCCCCTCCTCTAGGTTGTCACAGCACGCCAGGCTGGGTTCCCTGTGCTATATAGCAACTTCTCACTAGCTATCTGTTTTACACATGATAGTGTATATATGTCCGATGGCCTGATTTTTTTCCAATTTGATAGGTAAAAAGTGCCATCGCAAGCTTGTTCTAATTTGCCTTTCACTGTCAGTGAACATGAGCTTTGTATATATGTTAGCTGTTCTTCTTTCCCTTTTTGGGAAACACCTATTCATATCTTTTTAGTTTCCTGTCTTTTCCCCTTCACTATATCATTTGTTTGTTTGGATTTTGACTACACAATCATTATCCACTCCAAGGTCACAAATACATTTATCTTATTTATTTACTATATTTCTTAAGTTTTACTCCTCACATCTCAGTTTTTAATTCATCCAGTTCATCTCTTGCTTATGTTCTTGTATATGCTATGAGGTTATGATTCAATTTTTTCTCTATTCTATGAGTCATATGAGTCTTTTTACCAAATAATCTGTACTTTCTGTATCCCGTGGTGATGCTGCCTCTCTTAGATACAATTGAAATATAAAATCCTGCAAGGGTATTGATTGAAATTACAGTTGAATGTTGAATAACACAGAGATTAGGGATACCAACCCTCCCATAGTCAAAAGTTCACATATAACATTGCAATTGGCCTCCAATACAGATGTCATGGTTCTGCCTCCATGGATTCAGCCAACCATGGATCATATGGTACCATAGTATGTATTTAGTGGAAAAAAAAAATCTGTGTGTAAGTGAACCTACACAGTTCAAACACGTATTTTTCCAAGGGTCAACTGTATCTATTTGGGGAGACTCAACATGTTTTATAGCTCATTTAGTTCTCATAAGAACACAGTGAGTTAGATCTTATGTCCCCGATTTACAAAAAAGGAAAGAGAAGCTCCAGGAAGCTAAATAAGCCAGTTATTAAGTGATAGAGCAAGGATTCAAACCTAGATCTGTTTGACTTTCTGAGGGTTTTTATTATTATTATTGCACCCTTCTGTCCTTGTGAATGTATAGCCTTGCTTATTTATTTATGACCAACTAACCCCTCATAACCTGCTTTCCTTTAGCTATAAAAATAACCCAACCCGAGGCTATCTAGCCTATAAATGTTTTTTCTTTCTACCTTAATCCCAGGAGAATCTCTTGGCTGGCTGCCACAGGGACCAGAGAGCAGTACCTCTGAGATTCTGTCTAACCTCAAGTAGGATGAGGGTCTTGGGGCAGTGACCTGTTTTACAAGTGAAACAAAAATTAATAGACTGTGTAAGTAATTTCCATTTTCCACTTTGATATCTCTGATGAATGAAAGAATATCTGATGAATAAGCGTAAAGAAATTTGAAGTTTGTAAAGAATCTCTAATTTGGTCTAAAAAAATCATAAAAGGTTTATGACATAAAGGTAAGTATGAAGTAATAAGAGCAATAGTAAATTACATTGTCATAGTTCTTTATAGTTTTCAGAACACACTAATGCTGTTCATTTGTTTGGGTTCTTTCAATGATCTTTTAAAGCAGGTATGGCTAAATCATTTCAATGTATGACAAAAACTACTGTAATGATGTAAAGTAATTAGCCTCCAACTAATAAAAATAAATGGAAAAAAATAAATAAATAAATAAATAAAAAATAAAGCAGGTAAACTGAGCTTGCATGTTACAGACAAAGAAATTGAGGCATAGAGCTTTACCCAAGTTCAGGTGATTGCATGAATTCTCCCAACTTGTCACCTCTCACTGTATTCATTCTGCTAACAGGATGTTAGCAGACGTGCCTGAAGCAGAGGCTTGAAAGTGCCTGCATGCTTCTGATTGATCTCTCGCTCTTCAGACGTTACCACAAGGACAGTCCAGGCTGGCCAACTGTTCCAAAGAGGAAGGTAAGAGACATCTGGAGCAAAGTTCCCCAGATCAGATGCCCCGGCCAAGCTCAGCCTGGAGCAGAGCCTCCTTTGACCTGCAGATCCATGTGTGTTCATCCTCAGTCACTCAGTCACATCTAACTCTTTGCAGCCCACCAGGCTCCTCCGTCCATGGGATTTCCCAGGCAAGAATACTGGAGTAGTTTGCCATTTACTCCTCCATAGGATCTTCCCAACCCAGGGATCAAACCCCCGTCCCCCGCTTTGGCAGGTGGATTCTTTACCAGTGAGACACTTGAAAGCAAATTCATGAGCTTTCATTAAATACAGTTGTTGAACCATAGAGTTTGGATGATAATTTGTTACATAGCGATAGCTAGCTGATACAAGATAAACCAGTTAGTAAATTGTAAAGCTGGACTTGGGATCTAGATCTTCATACATATAGTTGTACACACTTTCGACTCTGCTAAGTTGCTTTTCATGCAGACAGACATTTGTTTAGACTTTAAACAAAAAAAAAACAAAACTCAAGATGGAGCCTGTTCTGCTTCATCTCTCAGGGGCCATGTCTTCTCTGATTCCTCAGAGCCCAGTCCCATATCTTGCACATTGTAGGTAGTATGTTCATTAAATAAAGAAGCTATAAAAATATGAGGGTCATACCTCTATCCCCTTCATCTTATTTTTACAAATAAAATTTTTAATAAAAACAAAGTTAAACTGGAAGATATATTGATCAGTGAGAATCAGCTTCTAAAAACTGGTCCCAGCAACTGCACAAAGAAGACACAGTCATCATTTTCTTTTTCAGACATCTGTCCATATGCAGCATATTTCCTCTCTGAAGAAAGATCAAACCCCATAAAATGCATCATTTATATGCCACTCCCCATTATGAAACAGCATGGAGACCATTAATGAGAAGCAAAGGCTAAAAGAAGAGCCCACAAGTCAGGTTCAGGCAGACTGTGGTGAAAAGGCACCATCCTTTGGGAATTACACACAGGAAAAAAGAAGAAACATCGAACCTGATTCTCTGCCCCCCACCCCCCCCCATCCTCAACTCCATCCCCACTTCCCCCGTTGCTTCAACAGCTTGAGGTAGAGAATTTGTAAAACCCACACGGAGAGCTTTTTCCTCTGATTTTTTAATCTCAGGAGTCCGACAGTGGCGATGAAGGTAGCTGTGACATTTGCAATTTTCCATGCACCAGCCCATTCCATTTTCTTTCCTGGTGCTGCTTCCATGGTACAGTAAACCTCCAGCTCTGACAATAATTATAGCCGGAATAAAATGAAGGGAGTAATAGGAACAAAGCGTCGCTGTAATTGCCTTTTCATTATTTGCTAACAGTTAGTTATTCAGTCACAGGGAAAAATTACACAGTAATTGGTTGACAATGGGGAAGCAATCGCTGAATCCCACAACTATGATATTTTTGCTTGTTGGGCTTTAGACCTTTTATTCATATTTTGATTAAACAGCTGGAGCATTAAACTGACATGGAATGTATCCTTGGTCAAATTCCGATGTGATTGTTTCTACCCCATTCAAAATGTTGAATTTAAACTAGCACCTACAGTAGAGCTGTAAATAGTCTATTGACTTTCAAATAAATCCCTCCTCTTTACTCCAGTTCATAAAGAAAGCACAGTGAGTGTAATAGCACAATTTTTTTAACAAATCAGTTTTCAGTTGGATGTTTTCAAATCTAAAAAAAGTATATGGAATCACATGGTGCCTTCTTCTGGCCTTCAAATTTTTCTTGAATTTAACTTTCTAAACTCAAGATCTTTATGTGTATGCTCAGTCACTCAGTCACGTCAGACTCTTTGCAACCCCATGGACTGTAGCCCACCAGGCTCCTCAATCCATGGCATTTTCTAGGCAAGAATACTGGAGTGGGTTGCCATTTCCTCCTCCAGGGGAATCTTCCTGACCCAGGGATTGAACTCGTGTCTCCTACATTGGCAGGTGGATTCTTTACTACTGCGCCACCTGGGAAGCCCCAAGATCTTTATGGAGTCCTGAAAAACATTCACTCTTACTTGCTCTTACAGGTAGAAAAACAGGTCTGGAAAGGGGACTGAGCTGTTCAGGTTCATCCAGCTCTTTACTCATTTTAGGACTGGAAACCCAAATGATGACTCTTGGTACTTCATTTAAACTGTCTTCTGGCTCCACATTTGCATGTAGGAGGAGAACTAGAACAGCACAACAGGTAAGATCTATGCCTGCACGAGCATACATCTCCATATGTGTCTGTGTGTGTGTGCACACACATACACGCACACACTACATGGTGTCTGCCTCATATTGATGATCTATGTGGGTAAGCTTCACGGGTACCACCTTTCCTTGGCATCCTAAGCACCTAGACTAGGGCCATGTGTGCCATGATGTCTTGGGAAATGTTCAATGATGATAATAGAATGAGAAGATCTAATTATTATGGTCCAAGCTTAGGAATCTTTTTACTCTAGGTGATACAAATGTTGTGTTGGTTAAACACAAGAGTGTTGAGTTGACGTCCATGTTGTAATTGCAGAAGGAACTGAGAAAGGTGCCTTGTAAAGAATGCATCCATGTTTGTATGTATGTGTATGCATGTATCTATATCAGAGCTGGTGATGAAAGATGAAAAAGCTGCCACAAAGTCTTCTTTGAAAGATGGAGATTTTCTGTGTAGGGGGTGGAATGCCTGGGATCATATGCATGTGGCCTTGAATCCACTTCAATAATTTTAAGAGAATCTTAAAATCATGACTTGGAGAAAGTGATTATGGGAGGAAAGAGGTGAAGAATAGGATATTTGGGGACAGAATGTGTCTAAAGCTGTAACTAACACAGAAAGCCAGGACATAAGCTTGGTGCTTCACACACATGATTTTATATAATGCTCATAGCAGCTCTAAGTGGCACAGTTTCTCATCTTCCTTTCATAGAGACTAAGTCTTAGACAGATTAATGGATTTCCTCAAGATCACCAAGCCAGTGGGAGGGCCAGTGAATAAAACGCAGAAATTGGGCTTTGACCTTGAAGTCATTGGTGACCTTTAACTATATGCACGTAATCGCAACTTATCTAATTTTCCAAGTAAATCCACAATCAACCTTATTTGATGTCTACTGTCTAAGTGTCGTGGGCTTCCCTACTGGCTCAGCTGGTAAAGAATTCGCCTGCAATGCAGGAGACCCAGGGATTGAACCCGGAAAGATCCCCTGGAGAAGGAAATGGCAACCCCAGTACTCTTGCCTGGAGAATTCCATGGACAGAGGAGCCAAAGAAGCTATAGTCTATGGAATTGCAAAGAGTTGGATTGTATGACTAACTTTCACTTTCTTTTTACTTTCTCTAAGTGCACAATGGGGATTCAAAGGCTAATGAAAATTTTCTCTCTTTGAGATGTTTAACCTCTCCCAGTGGAAACCATGAACCAAGTCCAGCATGAAGGCCACTCCTATGTCTATGGTGATCCAGTTTGAGTTGCCCCAGAAATAGACCCTGAGACAAAGATTCAAGTGCAACTAGTTGATTTGGAAGGTGATGCCAAGAAACATGGATACAGGGTAAAGAGTGAGACTAAAATGGGCAGGATGCTAACAGTGCATTAAAGGTTACTGCTGGGGACATTTGGACCCCATTTTCCCAGGGGAATTGTAGGACGCATTGGAGAGCATAGGCATTGGAGAACATACTTCATTGTTATCCTGATCTGAGGGTGAGGGAATTGGGATATTTATCTTCAGCGTCCTGTCCATCACTGGTTAAGGGCTACTTCTGAGGGTATTAACTCTTTGCATTTCCACTTGACTTTGTGCACCAGCCCAGGGTACACCAGCAACCAGAAAGAGCCTTTGGTAAAGATTTGCAGGTGTTCTCACTGAGCATCCTTCTATATTTACAAATGAGTGCCAAGGTGATGTGGGTGGGCAGCTGACAGTGTCTGTCACCATGGTGACAGGCAAAGTGTGTCCCAGAGTGGGTAGTATTAGTGATCAAACTTCGAAGGTGAAGGACACGGCATTCTAGAGCATGGGCCCCATCAAGGGGCATAACTTAAGGTCATCTATCTCTAAAAGACCTGCCAGGCTTTGTACCAGAGGCAGAAATTGGCTGAGATACCAGATTCAACTCCAGTGAAATCATCTCCTTCTCATAACAGAAAGCCCATGTTCTTGTCCTGGCATCCAAGGCTATTCCCAATCCAGCTTCAGTTCACCTCTTGACAAGTTCTGAGCCATCCCCCTGGGCTTTGATTCCTGCCCGTTTTTATTAATAGGTACTAGTGTTGCTGCCTGAGTCCTGCCTTTGAGACCCTGCCAGTCCTTGAGGGTCTCCATTCCAAATCTGCCTCCTGCACTGTCTTTCCCAACCAACCTCGGTGGAAGGGACCTTCCTCTGCGCCCCCCTGCTCCTGACCCAACACACTTATGCAGTCTCCATCACTTCCAGTGATAAAAGCCACAATCTCTTTTTTGCATTTCTCAAATCCTCAAAGCCCTAGAAACTCAAAGAGTTTTATTTTTGTTATCATTTGTTTGCTTTGCTCTTTAAAAAATCTTATAAGGTAGCAGAATCTGACCTGAACTGACATGAAGCTATTTCTAGTTCTTATTTGATCTAAATATTCACATATTTCACCACATAAATATTCATATATTTGGTTAGAGAATAAAGCCCCAGATCCTACTGTGCTTTTCTATGTACACCATGTTTCTTCTCTAAAATCTTTATATCTGCACCTTATTTCTTTTGTACAATTTGTATATGTACATTCATATTTCTTCTCTAAAATCTGAAAATTCTGAATTATAAAACATATCTCCAGCTCATGTGATTCAGATATGGGCTTGTGAGCCTACAATATTAATAATAAGAAGAATAAGGACTTTCCCTGGTGGTCCAGTGGTTAAGACGCCAAGCTCCCATTGATGGGGGCCCAGGTTTGCTCCCTTGTCAGGAAACTAGATCCTGCATGCCACAGCTAAGACCTGGTGCAGTCAAATAAATAATAAAAATAATGTAAATAGGCAGTACTGAAGTCCATTCGAAGTGCTTTATATATTTAATGATTTTAATTCTCATAAGGACTTGAGAAGATAAGTTCTAGTAATAACCCTATTTTCCTAACTTCCCTTAGGAAACTGAGGTTCAGAGGTGTTATGTAACTTGCTGAAGGTCATACAACTTGCAAATGCCAGAAGCCAGGGTTTGAACTTAAGGCAGTCTAGCAGAGTCAAAGCTTTTACTTGCTACACTGTGCTTCTTCTAAGTCTAAATGCCCAGCCTTGAAATTGTACATAACTCCTAGCTCAGACTTACCATCTGTCTTGTTCATGAATGTTCTCTGAGGGACCCTCTCTCCTTCTGAGTCTGAATTTTCAATGTCTAAGCTTTAAACCACCAGCATTGAGTTGCTGTGGATAGTATTTACCTCCCTGGTATGAGTCTCTGGAACTTCTTGCAGACTTCAGTGGTCCTCATGTTCACGCTCAGTCCTTAAGATGTGTCCAACTCTTTGAGACCCTATGGACTGTAGCCTGCCAGGCTCTTCTGTCCATGGGATTTCCAGACAAGAATATTAGAGTGGGTTGCCATAACCTCCTCCAGGGGATCTTCCTGACCCAGGGATCCAGCCCACATCTCCTGTTTTGGCAGGTGGTTTCCTTACCACTGAGCTACCTAGGAAGCCCTCCGTTCAAACCACAGCCTCAGGAAGAGCAACCTGTCTGTTGTGGTCCAGCCCCAGAAAGGGCTCTGTGTATACCCTGAATCTGTAGCCCCTCCTTGCGTATCTCCTCTCTGCCCCCAGAGCCTCACCCCCACCTCTCCTGTGCCTTGGAACCCTTCTAAGATTAGAGACCACAGAAGTCTGTGTCCTGAGAATTATCCCAGGACCTTGCCTAGCATAGGGCCTTAGTGATGTTTGGAGGCAAGAATATATAGCTGAATGAGGAGGTCCAGATTTAGGCTTCTTTGCTAGCATAGACATGTCTTGGTTTTGCAATTACTCTCACACTTGACTCTCCCCACCAGCCCAATCTGTAGCAGATTCATAGTGCCAGGAGTTGAACCCGCCCCAAACTGGATTCAGAGTTCATTCTTCTAACTGTGATGACAAACTATGCTTAAGTGCTTCTGCATCATTCACCCCTATGAGCTACTTAAATGCCTTGTCTCTGTTGATCCTCACAACAGCCCTATGAAGAGGTACCTTTGTTGTATCCTTTCACTATATGAAGAAGGGCTTCCCAGGTGGCACTAGTGGTAAAGAACCCACCTGCCAATGCAGGAGACGTAAATGATGCAGGTTCGATCCCTGGGTCGGGAATATCCTCTGGAGGAGGGCATGGCAACCCACTCCAGTATTCTTGCCTGGAGAATCCCATGGACAGAGGAGCCTGGCAGACTACAGTCGATGGGGTCATGAGGAGTCGGACACGACTGAAACGACTTAGCACCCACATATCCACTATATGAAGAAACTGAGGTGGAGAAAAAGGAACCTCACCGAGGCCTCATACCTACAATACACATCAAGTGTTGTCACAATAACCTTGTAACAACCCCGTCCTAAACTCAGTGGCTTAAGATAATCATCATCTACTCTTCTTGCTTACATATCTGTTAGCTTTCTTGATCTCATCTGGGCTCCTACAGGCTTAACTCCAAGCAGCTGTTGAGTTCAGGTCTGCTCGTATGCCTTTTATCCTCATTGGACCAGAGGCTAGTTTGGGCATGTTTTTCCTGTAGTGATGGGAGACACAGTGGGCAAACCCGATCTCTCAAACACAGTCTAAACCTCTAGCTGTATCAAAACCACTAATGTTTCATTAACCAGTGTGCAAGTCACATGGTCAGGCCCCACATCAGGGTGGAGGGGAATTATGCTCCTTCCAAGGACATAGGATCATAGGGACTCAGAGAAAATGTTCATCAAACAGTAACCTAGGACTTCCCTGCTGGTCTAGTCAAGAATCTGCCTGCCGATGCAGGGACACGGGGTTGATCCCTGGCCTGGGAAGATGCCGCATGTCACAGGGCAGCTAAGCCCACGTGCCACAATTACTGAGCCTGGGTGCTGCAACTACTGAAGCCCGCAGTAGTTCCCAGAGCCTGTGCTCTGCAACAAGAGAAGCTACTACCACAAGGAGAAGCACCCCCCCGTCCCAGCACCTCAACTCGAGAGAGTAACCCCCGCTTACCGCAACTAGGGAAAAGTCTGTGCACAGCAACAAAGGCCTAGTGCACCCAAACTAAATAAATAAATAAAATTTTAAAACCCAGTAATCTAATCCACCATACCCACCAAAAAGTAGAGTCAGAAGTCCCCCCAGGGTTTCCAACTCTGAAGCCACCTTTTCTTAGCACTCTCTTGAGTAACATCAAATACCCAGGGCACAGCTTTTGGACATGTAGGAAAAAAAAAAAAAGCCTGTTTAATCAGTCTATTGGGATTTTGGCTTCTGATTTGGAAGGCGTAAGGCTGCTCCTAAAGACATGTGAGAGATGGTGGGAGAGCCTAAGCAGTGGGGGGGGGGAGGGGCAGGTGAGTGCCTGCTCTGCCAAGCTGACATCCCCCAACCCCCACCTACATGCATGACCCTGTGATGAGGCTTCCCTCTGGGCCTTAGACCTATCATTAGAGGATTAACTTTCTCATCACTCTCCTTACACATGTCTCCATGCAGCCTCGGAATGCCTCATCAAAGTCCAAAGCAAGGACATTTGAATTCTTTGCCTGGCAGACCTGTTTTCTGGTGTTTAAAGAGATTGCTAGAAATTCCTAAATTTTGGAGCTGTCCCCCCCACCTCCACCCCCACCACTGGGAGAGAGAAAGGAATAGCAGAAGCTCCCAGTGGACTAATTTATTTGTATTTTATTCTAGCTCCTGACATTTGGAGAAGGCTTGAAGAGCTTCCTGATGTTTGCTGGTTTTGATTTGCTTTGCAGGATGCTAGATTAAACCTCAGAATCCTGGAAAATAACCTTGCTATTTTCCTTAGCAGAGGTACAAGGTCTGAAACTATTTTGTCAAATGCCAGGGTGGCCGGCCCCAACTCCAGAGCTGTGGCTCGTCTGTACCCTCACTGTATCACACATTACCAATATAGCCCAGTGCTGCTGCCCTTGCAGTCCAGAAACGAGCCCAAATCCTCCCAACACAGCCCTCCAGGCAGCCAGTACTGCTTGATCAGAGTTAATGCAGCTGAGTTCCCATCCTTGCTCTAAAACTTTTCCATTTTTAACATGCTGGGCTTCCCTGGTGGTTCAGTCAGTAAAGAATCTGCCTGTCATGAAGGAGACCTGGGTTCAATCCCTGGGTCACAAAGATCCCTTGGAGAGGGGAATGGCAGCCCACACCAGTATTCTTCCCTGGAGGATCCCATGGACAGAGGAGCCTGGCAGGCTAGTCCATGGGGTTTCAAAGAGTCAGACAGGACTGAGCGACTAACACTTATAATAATTTTATCCAACTCTCCTGTAGAGTTCTGATAAAGGTACTGCCTTTTCCTGTTCTACTTCTCATTATCCTGCTATTCAACTTAAAAATCCTCAGTCTCCAAACTCCTTGTCTTGCCGTCAAGGTCCTCCATCATGTGACACTTTCACTCCCCACAACTAATCGAATGCCCCTCGAATCCCTTTATCACCCCTTGTTGTAAGAAATATTCTACTTTGGCTGCCAACATTCCTATACCTGCCTCCACCCCTAGTATATGTGCTTGATGTAATTTTCTCGTTTTAAGTATGGGAGAAACTGGAGAATGTGATTAGGTTACTAGGCAGCTGACTCGGAGTTCATCAAAGGAGAGTTATCCTAGGTGCCATGGGGCCGTGCTCCGTGGCTAAGTCATGTCTGACTCTTTGCGAGCCCATGGACTAGCTGCCAGGCTCCTCTGTCCATGGGATTCTCCAGGCAAGAACACTAGAGTGGGTTGCCATGTCCTCCACCAGGGGATCTTCCTGACCCAGGGATTGAGCCCCGGTCTCCTGTGTCGGCAGGTGGGTTTTTTACCACTGAGCCACCAGGGAAGCCCTATGCTAGGTGCGCATGACCTAATTAGGTGAGTCTTTAAAAAGGACAGATCCTTCTGGAAGACAGAAAAATTTTGCTGGCCTTGAAGAAGAAAGCTGCTGTTGTGAGAGGGTCTGTGGAGGCGGCCATGAGGAAAGGATCTGAGGGTGGCCTCTAGAAGCTAGGAGGGGTCCTTCCCCAGTAAGTAAGAAGAAAAATACAGAAACTCACTCACACAACAGCAGGGAACTGAGCTCTGCCAACAACCACATGAGCTTGGAAGAGGAGCTCCCCAGAGGAACACCTTGATTTCAGCCCTGGGAGATGCTGAGTGGAGAACCAGCGAGGTTGAGCCTAGACTTCTGATCCATGGAAGCTATGGAATGATAAATGATCATTATTTTCAGATGCTAACTGTGTGGTGATTTTTTTTTTCCACACAGCCATAGAAAACACACACATCCATATTCTCAAGCCATGTGCACATGGTGAGTTTTCCTATCTCAGGGAAAACTTAGATCAGAGTCTTTTCTCAAACTGGGAGTCCTTTCTCATCCTTCTGCTTAAACCTTATCCAAATGTAAACCCTTCCGATATGTACCCTCACCTCCTCCTTGAAGCCTTTTCTTGGTAGGCTCACACATAGATTACCTGGTATTCTTTTTTTTTTTTTTAATGCCATAATTGTTTCTCTTTGTTTGAGTTTCATAAAATCCCCCTGCAGACTTCCTTTGGGAGGAGTCCATATCTGCCTAATCCTTGTAGCCCATTGAAATTCACTGTACCTAGCACACAAAAGGTGGTTAATACACACTTATTACATGCATGAATGTTTTGTGAATTACAATGTGCATCTGACTAACTTGTGTATTTGACAACTTTCCTAACCTTAATATATCATGTTTTGATGACATTTAAAAAGTTTACATGACCAGGAACCAAATAAAGAGCTCTTCACCCTACATGTCCAAGTATAGTTACACTCACATTTCTCTCTCTTCTTTTATTTAATTCAAATCAGTACCCATCTGTCATGTGCCAGGTCTTTTGCTCAGTGCTTGTCCTTGATGAACATAAAGTCTAAGGGGAGTGGGTCCCCAGCCTTCCCGGTTTCCCTGGGACTGGAGGGTTTCTTGGGATGTGGGATCTCCAGTGCTAACACAGGGACAATCCCAGGCCTTCTGGGATGGTTGGTCACCCTAAGGGAGGGAGACACACAAGTCAGAAGGCAGATTCAGTAGAGAGGGCTCACTATTCTTGGGAACTTAGAGTAGCAGATGATGGTCTTATAAACTGACTCCTAAAGAGTGCCTAGGAATCATTTAGAGGAATTGCACTAACCAGAAGGAGGAAGAGGCCAGCAGTAGTAGATGTAGAAATTGGAAACAGAATGAGCCAAATCCTGGCTCTGAGAGGTGGCTTCTTGAGAGAAATATGGATGTATGTACGTGTGTGTTTAATTGCTCAGTCATGTCTGAGTCTTTGATCCCAAGGACTGTAACCCACCAGACTCCTCTGTCCATGGGATTCTCCAGGCAAGAATACTGGAGTGAGTGGCCATGCCCTCCTCCAGGGGATCTTCCCAACCCAGGGATCGAACCCAGGTCTCCGCATTGCAGGCAGATTCTCTACCATCTGAACCACCAGGAAAGCCCTGAGAGAAATATAAGTGCTTCCTATTCGAGAATTAGAATCAGCTGCCAAGCCAAACTGTTTGATTGTGTGTGTGAGTGCATGTGTGAGAGAGAGACCTACCACATGGAAGGTCTCCCTGCCCCCGAGGTGGGTAGGGAGAGAGAGACAGGCAGGGAAGCAGTGAGAAAGGAAGGACATTTCTGACACAAGGGATAAGCTGTGTAAAACCCGACTTGACAATACTGGAGGCTGTGCATAGGCCTCGGTGTTGGAACACGGAGGTGAGAGGGGATGTAACTGGAAATGAGGCGCGGGGAGCGGTGGGCCCCACTCTGGAGGACTTGTGAGCCTGGCTGAGGAGGGTGGGCCCAACTGGTAGGGTGGGCGGGAACCACCAAGCGGTGATGTGGATCCGTGTGTCCTTTAGATGAATCATTTGAGTCTCTGGGTTCACGACAGACCTGAGATTCCCAAGACAGGCATCACGGTAACAGTGAGGAGGCTGTTGACTGTATCACGGAGAGGTGACCATGGCCTGAACTGGACAGTGACAGCGGAAATAGAGGGAATAGAGATCTTTCTTTTTCTCTATCTATCTGCATCACTAACTACCTACTCACACTCACGAATACATGTGCATAAACATATACAGTGATGGAAAACATTTGTACCGATATTTATCTGGGAAGCATATGCATACCTTGTTAGGTTACAAAAATGAAATGGGATCACACCATACATATTGTACCTTTTAATGCATTTAATAGACCTTGAACATCTTTGTATAAATGCGCATATAGGTCTTTCCTCTGTGTGTCTTCAGTGTCTTCCCAAGGAGCCTAAGTATTCTGTTATAATGGATTTATCAGAAAGTATTTCTGATAAAAATTGGCAATGACAATTCAATTATTTATTTTACTTATTCTTTCTCTGTTTTCTCCTCCCATGTTGTAATGAACATCCTTACATATTATTTTTTGAGTGCTAATGCAAGTCTGTCTGGCCTCCCAGGTGGCATTATTGGTAAAGAATCCATCTGCCAATGCAGGAGATGTAAGAGACGCAGGTTCGATCCCTGGGTTGGGAAGATCCCCTGGAGGAGGGCATGGCAACCCACTCCAGTATTCTTGCCTGGAGAATCCCATGGACAGAGGAGTCTGTTGGGCTACAGTCCATGGGATTACAAAGAGTCGGACATGACTGAAGCAACTTAGCATGCACACACACAAGTCTGTCTACAAGATAAAAATCTCAGAAGGTACATGGCTAGGTCAAAAGGATATAGATATTTTAGCTTTAATAGTTATAGGCAAGTTGCTGTCTGAAAAAGTACCAATATGCATTTCCATCAACAGTGTATGAATGTCTATTTGTTTTAAAACCATTTATAAATTAAGAAGAATTTCAATATCTTGATATAGAAATACATTTAAGAAGGAGGGGAGTAGTCTCCACATTATGTATATGACTCTGACTTTGGTTCCTTTGGAATTAACCTTTAATATGCTATATTTATCTAATGTGAATCTCAACTGATTTGGAAAAGTATTTTATAATATATATTTTAAAGTCTGAATTGGGCTATAAGCAGTACTGTGTGGCTCATATGAAATCAGATCAATATACAACTCACTCTACCTTTAAACATGACAGCCACAAAAAAGGTATATTAAATGTGTCTATCATGTGATAAATGAAATGTTTTCTATTAAAAAGTGTCTACCACACTTGGTTCCATTGCAATGCAAATTTTATGTTGTGGCTCTTAGTAACAGTTTTTCTTGCAGCTAGATCTTTATTAAAGTCAGTCAAAGGCTGTGCTTCTCATGTTATGAATAGTCATCATAATTATCTAATGCAACTACTCCAAAAATCAGATTAGTAATTAGCTGGCCCAACTGATTGGTATGACTTCCTGGATGCAGCTCTTTAATGTTGAACATTTACTTTGTGCTTGAAGGATTTGTTTGTGTGTTTCCTATGTGTGATGAGAGCTTTTCGATAATTAGCTCCTAAGGGATGTCGTATTCCAATAGCTAAAGAATAATTACGGCCTTATGAAAAGTGAAATGACTTCGGCTTCCTTTTGTTGTGGTTTAATTGTAGGCAACAAGTCCAAGAGGCTTCTCATTTCAAATTGTGATAGTGAAAATGTTGCTTTCATTAAAAAAAAAAAAAAAAAAGGATGTGAATTTGGTAAAATGGCAAATTGGTATAATTTTGAAAACAAACAAGCAAAGCACCCTATTTAAACAAGACTTGTGTTATTTCATTAGTTCATAATTTTGATTACAAATTAAACTGTGGCAGAGTGAGGAGTTGGAAGGTTTTCACAACAAAGGGGATGGAACTTGAAAAAAGTTCACATCAAAAGGCATCAGCTGGGGGGACGCCATTGTAATGGACTGTTAATTAGTGCCAACCACTAAAACAAAGAATAGAATGACAGGTCCATTCTCACAGAGTGTATAGTTTGGGGTTGAAGTGAGAATAGAACACATTAAAAAGAATATATCTTTCTTGAGTGCACTTCTTGTTAGTTTTGAA